TTGGACTTCCAGGTGTAGGATAATCCATTTCCTTGATGCTTATCCAGATGGGTTTGAGATTCTTTTATACTTTCTGCTAAGAAAATTCTGACTGGTACTGAATTCATATGTGCACTTTTGATTCAGGGTTTAAGCTTTCTGTAATTTACTGTTAAATAATTGTAACATAATGTCTCATGTAGGTTCCTAGAAGCAGATCCTGAGATAGAGGTTCAAGTGCACATGATTTATTGAGGCTGTGCTCTCAAGAGAACCCAGTAAAGAAGGGAGTGAAATAGGATAGGAAAATGGGGAGAGATGAGTAAGGTTGCGGTCTTAGGCAAAGTCTAACCTTGGCCTGATCCATGGGAGATTCTGGATCTGTGCTGTCTAATATGGTAGCCAGAACCACATGTAGCTATTTAAATTTAAATTAATTAAAAACAACTAAAATTTAAAATTCAGTTCTTCAGTCTCATGTCAGGTGCTCACTAGCCACATGTATCTAGGAGCTACCCTATTGAACAGAGTAGACACAAGCATTTCCATCATTAGAGAAAATTCTACTGGACAGTGCCGTGGAGTGTAAATCAAAACCCAGAGTTGCCCTACCCTGATGTTTTTGCACTCCTGTCTTGCTCAATCATTGGCTGCCCCTGAGGGAAATGGTGGCATAACTTCCCAGGGAGATCCAGGGAGTTGGCTCCTAGGAGCCAAGGGTAATTTCCCCCAGGGCAGAGCACAGGAGAAGGTCACAGCACCCACAGCAGCTCTAAATTCTTCAGGTAAAGGAATCCGGGTGGAGTACCCACAGTGACTACTGCCACGGTGTCAAGAGGGCATGAGCTGGGATGCAATGCTCACGGCAGTGATTAGGCAACACCCCTTCCCCATTGGCCCACATTGGGAATTCGGAATCTCCTGGGATTGCTCCTAGGGAGCACTTTTGATCCCTATCCATCCTTATGGTTCAGACATGTACCAACTGTATAAACATATCTGATGGGTGGGTCACTCCAGAGATGCTCAGTTTTCAGGGGGGACAAGGGAGGCTCAGAGGGCAGACTCTAGGGAGAAAAGGACATGACCCAGGGAGTAAGACCTCAAAAAAGTGCCTGAATGTCAAAGAGGGGTGGTGACTCTGGATAGAACATGTAGCCGCTGCCAGGACTGTCTCATCCAGCCTCTGTGTCCTACTAGAAAGAAGATGAGGGTATAAAGTATTATGAAGTGGTCATTATGCTTCTATAATACATTTCCTAGGTTGTATGTCTGTCTACTCTTTGGTTACCTTTTCATATAATACCAATTTTGTAATGCCACCTTTTATAAAAAAAAAAAATAGAAGACAACTCAATCTTTCCTCTTGCATGGTTAATCAAAATTTGTTTTTTATTATTGCTACTTTAGAAACATTTCTTTTTGCTTCTTTTGTTATGGGAAATGACTTGTCTCTACCTTCTTCCTCAGTTCCTTGGTCAGGGGTTACTTTTTGCCTGGGGGAAAGTCCTCAGATAACACAGCCATGTGATCTCACTCTCCTTGGCCTCGCAATAGCTGCTGCCAAAGAGGCAGGTCCAGCTCAGGTCAGGTCCTCACCGCCCTGTTCCGTCATGGGTTTGGTCTCCATGGGCGGAGCGGTGGTGATGCAGGTAGAGGTGGTGTGAGCCTGAGTCATAGTCACTCAAAGGAGGAAACAAAGGAGCTTCTCATTCAGATTTTTCTCCTTAGGATCAAAGATAGAATCCAGAGGCTAAATGACATTGGTGTTGTTCTATTCACATCCCCTCAGCCCCCACCAGCTCAATTTCTAACTGCAGGCACCTGCAACTCTGTCTGAGGGCTGTTCTCTGCCCATTGAAGCCCACTTTGCTCACCTGTGTGGCAGGCTGCTAGTGTCCAGGAATTACTGTTCTTCCCTTTGCCTCATCCCCACTCCCCACTAGCTTCAACCGATGATTGAAAGTTAGTGTATACATAGCAAGACTCCTCATTCCTTGGGAGGGATACCTGAGCATGAGTCTACATGGGCTCCCAGAGTTCCCCATCTGATTGAGCTCCAGTTGTCCCCACGGTAATTAGCTTGATAAGGTCAATCCCCCTTTATTTGTCTGCCTTTCCCATACTGTCTCACTAACCCTTCTACTGGTGTTTTCTTAGCTCCCAAATAAACTACTTGCTCTTGAGTCATTGTCTTAGCATCTGCTTCTAGGGAACCCAAAGGAGATGCTAGGTGAAGTCCACCAGGGCAGTTGTCACTGGGGACTGGGTGATGTGGACATAGTGCTGGCAGCCAGCTGCCCAGCCAGGGCCCTAGGACCATCATCAGGGCACACAGGCTAGAGTAGCATGCCATGCCACCACCTCTGCTGAATGCTTAGTTTAATTCCAGAGTGAAGATTATTAGCAAGAGTGTGAGGCACACAACATGCCACTTACTCCCTATCACTCTTACCAGTTATAAAACTGGTATTTTGTTCCTCTGTCTGACTCCTGTGTTTATCTCTCAGTTGGCTGAGAACTTGAAAGGAGAGTAGGAGGTTATTAATTGAGCCTCCTGAAACTGTTACAATAAGCAGCGAAGGGGGCCGGCCCCGTGGCCGAGTGGTGAAGTTCGCATGCTCTGTCTGCTGCGGCAGCCTGGGGTTTCGCCGGTTGGGATCCTGGGCACAGACATGGCACTGCTCGCCAGGCCACACTTAGGCGGTGTCCCATATGCCACAACTAGAAGGACCCACAACTAAGATGTGCAACTATGTACCGGGGGGGATTTGGGGAGATAAAGCAGAAAAAAAAAAAATTGGCAACAGTTGTCAGCTCAGGTGCCAATCTTAAAAAATAAATAAATAAATAAGCAATGTAGAAAGATAGGAATTCAGGATGTGCAAAATCCAGGGTGATGGGTTAGAGGGTGGCTAGATACTGACCACTGGCCTGAGGGAACGAGCAAATCTATAGTCCATAGTAGAGGAGGCAGAATGAGGTACTGCATACTAGGCAGCATAGTAGAATAAGAATTCAGGAACAGAGACAATGCAAAAGGCAAATAATCAGAACAGTTGGGGATGCTGGGGATGTGACCATCCTCAGACAAGAGACCAGAGCTCACTGATCAGAACTGGGTCACTGCAACCAGAATAGAGCCCATCATGCGTGCTGATGCCTAGCTATGGGGTTGGAGCTAGTCAGATGCCTCTTTTATCAGGCTGTGATTGCGCCTGGGGGCAGAACACTAGGCTGCAGCTGTGAACAAAAGAGAAACAACTAAGGAAATGGGCTGGTACTGACCGATTCTGCAACCAAATATCTAAAAGACTAGCTCAGTTCTATCCTTCGTGTTTGTAAAAGGTCAACACTGTGCTTTGTCAAGCCACAGAGAGGAAAATGCCATTCTTTAGTCTCTTTTCTCAGATTTTGCACACATTAGCCTTAAAAGCTTTCCTGCCTAGCTTGTATCTTTCATCTTCTCTGTCAAGGTTCATGAATCACGAGAGAGCACCAGCTGCTCTAAATGCCTTGTCTTATTCCATACAAGTGACATACCAGGTACACAGGTCAGGACTCTGTCAGTTACAAGGGACGGAAACCTAAGATCAGCGTAAGTAGAAAGAATTTATCAATTCAGATAACTGGGAAGGATCATGGGCTAATTTAGAGGGTACAAGGAAGAGCCAAAGAACCTAGGGTCTCAGGGACTGGAAACCTGACCTCACTGGCAGTAGGATTCTCTCTCCATCCAGTTCTCAACACAGTTTGTCTCTACTTTTCTTTGCATGTCCATCCTATTCTCTCTGCAGACAGGCCTTTCCAACACCTTTAACCCCCCAGCAGCCCAAGAGTCACATCCTCTCAAGCTTAACAACATCAGCAGAAAGATCTGTGCATCACTTCCCAGGAAGGACACTGACTAGTGCTGCCTAGATCGTATGCCCATTTCATGACCCAGCATATAATAGGCAATCAGTCAATACTCTTGAATGAATAAATAAGGTTGTAGTGGCCCATGTGACAGATACAGCCCTCACTGTTGTAAATCAATAAATTTTAGTTAGTTCTTTTTTTTGAGGGCAATTAGCCCTGAGCTAACATCTGCTGCCAATCCTCCTCTTTTTTCTCCTCCTTTTTCTGAGGAAGACTGGTCCTGAGCTAACATCCATGTCCATCTTCCTCTGCTTTATGTGTGGGAGCCTGCCACAGCATGGCTTGACAAGCGGTGCATAGGTCTGTGCCTGGGATCTGAACCAGCAAACCCCAGGCCACCAAAGCAGAACGTGTGAACTTAACCGCTGTGCCACCAGGCTAGCCCCCAGTTTGTTTCTATATTGAGATACTTGTTCATGCACACTTACTTCTGGGAGATGTCTGCTTTTGGTGTATTGAGGAAAGAGTCTCTGAGCCTGCAAGACTGAGAGCTTTGGTAAATTCAGCAAAGTAATTAAATGCCACCCTGGGAGGTCTCCTGGACAACAGCCTGCTTTACTTTCTCAGATGACCACCTGGACTATACTGTTCATGAACATATGCCTTTCCCTATTTGAATCTCTACACTGAGAACTTAACTATGAAATATATATTTTTCAAACTTATCTTCACAGTATCGTTATGAAGTAATTGTCAGATAAGATCCCATTGTCTCCATTTAATAGCTAGGCAAGTCCAGGCATATATTAGGTAGGTCAGTATTTTCCAGGGTATGTTTTCCAGAACAGAAGGCCCTTATGTGATCCATGAAGAGGACTGTAGTCAATTATGATTAGGAAACCTCTGATTGATTCACGCTACGCATTAGTATATTAAAGGTTCTGAAAGAAACCACAGTTAAGAAATCTATATGAACTGAAATCTATTTAATATTGATCAAAAGAATTTTGCAAAATTATTGGACGCTAAACTTCCTGCTTCTGCCTACATCTTTGTTCCCTCCTGTTTTCATAGAGGATCTCTCTTTCCACCTAAGGCCACTTCCTTTATCTATGCCCAGCATCCTATCTTCTCTCCCAGTCTCAAGAATCATCTTGTTCTTTTGTTGTTGCAAAAAGCTTTATTGTTTCCATTTGCTCCATGGCTTGTGAGAGGGCTAAAAGGTGGTAAAAAACCTGCCTAGTGGCTGCAGGAAGAGTCTCAGATAGAAGGCCTGACACAAGGGGGATGCCAGAGGGGCCCCTCAAAGGCCTCTGGGCTCCAGAGACTCCTTGTTCTGCTTGAGAGTGAGCCGTTCAAAGAGATACTCCTTCGGTCCAGCCTGGGCGCCAGCCAGCCTGCAGAGGTAAGGCAGGTGGTTGCCCATCTTCTTGATGAGTTTCACCTCCCCATCTAGGAAGTGGTTCTCCAGGAAGTCACAGAGATGAGGGTCCGTGCCAGCAGTATCCAGGGCATGCTGATCCAAAAGGGCCTGGTTGAAGTTCCTCTTCAAGATCATGGCGGCTTCCACGGGGTCCAGGGTTTTACCCCACTTAGTTCTGGATAGCTTCTGCATGTCCTGGAAGAAGGGACAGCTACCGTGCTGGTTTTGTGTCTTCAAGAGACGCTGAGAGCCCTCGGGCTTCTTCTTGGCTAACTTACAGAAGAAGCAGCCCACGCCCCTCCAGAGCCACATCCTCATGGTGGAAACAAAGCTAGAGAGAGGTAGGTGAAGAAGGCTCACAGATGCAAGTTGACCAGATGGTTGACGGCCGTCTCCACCTGGGTGGAATAATTCTGATGAATCTAAGAGCTCAAGGTTGGTCGGCAATAAGGAGCTAAGCACAAAGTGTGGTGTTGGTGGGAGCAGAGGACCTGGTCCTGGAAGCTGCAATGGAAAAAACAGTTGGCGGGTGGTCGGAGGCTGGAAGAAGGGGCATCCCTGGGTCTGTACCGTCTAGACACTTGAAGCAAGAGACAGGTCCGGACCGCAGGGTGCACTGCCTCTTCTATCTTCTTTCTCTCTTTCTGGATCAATACCTTGTTCCTCCTGGATCATCATTTACACAAACTCAAAAGTCTCTCTAAATTCTTATTTTCAATGCAGTCAATGGACCAACATCATTGACATCACCTAGGAGCCTGCTAGAAACGCAGAATCTCAGGCACTAACCCAGCCTGCTAAATTATCTGCCGTTTAACAAGATCCCTAGGTGATCTGTATGCTCATTAAAGTTTGAGAAGCCCTGCTGTAAACCACAACCAGGTTTCTCTTGTAAAAATGCAAATCAGATCTTTCCTAATCTCCACTTAAAAAACTCCTGTTTTCCCAGATTCTTTTCCTCCCTCCCTCCCTTCCACAACTGCTAACATTTCCCAAAACTAGTTCTACAAAGACCCTCTTTGGTAAACACTGGGCAAAGTCATTGCTCCTACCTTGGTGACAACGCCTGACTCCCTTGCTTTGTGAATTTTGCACTATGTCAGGTAGTCTGATCAAAGGGCAGAGTCCACTTGGAGAGGATTTTGAGCCCTCATTTGTTGCAGAAATGACATTTTCAGAGAGTGGTAGTCATTTTCCAGTTTGTTCTCAGCTCCACTCTCCACTCTTGGTATTACAAAGGGCTGACTCTACAACTACATTTCCCAGGCTGCCTTGCCAACCAGGTGCTGCCAGTGGGAAGCACTGGTAGATTGAGGGTGGGAGGATGGGGGTAGTGCCTCCAACCAGGTAACACCACTTTTGTGGTTCCAGTTCTGCTCCTGGACTCTGTTAACACCACCTCCTGCCCTTCTTCCTCCAGCCCTAGGGATGATAGCAGTTGCCTGCTCTTGCTAATCTCTAGGTTGCCTCAATATCTCTTGTTGACTTTTTGGTTTTTCCAATACCTGTATAACTAGTTCCCCATATGTGGTATGGGTTATGTTTTTCTGAGTGGACCCTGATTGACACATGGAGGTATCAGAAAATGGGAGTTGGAGGAGGAAGAATATTTGAGAAATAGGCAAATTCTGCTTGACTTGGTAGACCACCTTGAAGCCAAGGCACATCAGGGGCAGTAATGGAGACCAGGAGGCGATGGCAGCACATTGTTGTCATGAGCACTTACCTACCATCACTCTAACAGTGCTTTCTTTTGAAAGCTAATGTCCTCCTTCCTAGGGGTTGTGGGAAAGTTCTATGAATACAGAAAAGGGCAGGTTCCAGAGGAAAATCCATCTCCCTGCACATGAGCAATTCTCTCTGGTTGTTGTCAGTAAGTCACAAATAAGTCAGGGCTGGTGTCCAGTTGCCTGGGGTGAGAGTCAGAGGAGTTGTCCACAGCTGAAACCTCTTCATCTGGGAACAGGTTGGGGACAAGTTCTTTTGGCTGCATCTATAACCTGTCTGGGTTGGGCCAGCTGCTGAGTTGTCACAGTTGGTGGCTGGGGCCTATTGTCGAATGTCAATATTTTCAGAGTCATCCCACACTGCTGAGCTTCAGTTCACCCTGGCATCTGTCCCTTGGCCCTGGGAGTATAGGCAATTCTTTCATACATAATGGGAAAAGATACAAGAGAGGCTGTTTTTTCTCTCAGAGACTCTTCAAGTAGCAGGCCAGTGCGCTCTGAATAATGCGCTTTCAAATGGGAGAAAGAATAGAATTCTAGAATCACACTTTTCTGGGACAGTTAGAGATGGCAGTTTATTGAGTATGATTTTTACAAGATAATTCTGTAATAAATGTAAGGCCCAATGTCGGAAAGAAATAAAATATATTTATTGAGAAAATTGCATGAGTGTTTGTTTATGTGTGTTAAAACCCATCAAGTGTCCCATAATCAAGACAGGAGATGAGAGTTATACTGTGCCTGGAAGTACAGACAAGGCTGAGGGAAGTACAGACAGGGCAGATGGGAATTCCACACATAAAGATGCTCATCAACCAAAGTGTCTCTGATTTTCTCTGGAAGTTGAATCTGAATTGCCCATCTTTGGGTGTGCCAGGTGCCCAGCTTTGGGGACCTGCTGAACTGGTGTGTGGGGAGTGGTCTGAGGTGAGAGCACTCTCCAGGAAGGAATGCTTCTCCACCTGTCACAAACAACTTGGCCTGGAGGTGTGGTGGGCGGAGCTTTTGGCTGAGACTAGAGGCCCCAGCCATCTGCCCAGGGTGAGGAGATGGTGACCCAGCACCCTCCTGCTGCCATGGGAGGGCAGTTGGTGGCTAATTACTCCTGGTAGAAGGTGGGCCACATGCTCATTCTCCTCTGAAGGTCTAAACAGCAAAGCCATGAGCATCCCAGACCCTCACCAAGGACCCTTGTCCTTTTGTCCCTGGGTTGAAAAATCAAGCCTGGTCCTTTTAATAATGCCTCACTGACTTTAATTTTCTTCATCTATTCCTATAGGAGCCTAGTGACTGGGAACCCTGGTTAAGAAAAAGATCCTTGGTTTATGTGTTGAAAACAAATTTCCCTGGTTAGGAAAACATCAGTAGAAAGTCTTTATTTTTTAGCTCTAATTTTCTTAACTTACAAGTGTGATCCTTTAAAAATTATTGATGACAGAAAAAGACGTTTTATTTACAGTTCCCTCCCTTTCTCCTAAGGAGGCAGTGCCTAGTAACCTGAGGAACTTTTGTTTGCTAAGGAAAAAATCAACTTCTCATGTTGTCATGTGATTACTATAGAGCAATGAATTGCACAGTATTTCATTATATTATAGCATTTTTTTACATGCAGAATTAAAAAAAATCTTTTATATAGATTGATAAATTAAACTATGCTTTTTGTAATGGTTCCTGGGTTTTATGTTATGCTTAGAAAGGCCTTTAGCACTCCAAGATTATAAAATAAAGGGTCTGCCTGGTGATGTAGTGGTTAGGTTCCCGCACTCTGCTTTGTCAGCACTTGGCGCATCAGGCCACGCTGCAGCGGCATCCCACATACAAAATAGAGGAAGATTGGCACAGATGTTAGCTCAGGGACAATCTTCCTCACACACACACAAAAAGATTATAAAATAAATCTGCCCATGTTTTCTTCTAGTACTTTAATAGTTTCACTTTTTAGGTGTGAAGAATAAATCCAACTTCCTTTTTTCAAGACACCACCTTATTACCCAAATACTCATTTAATCCTCACAAGAAGTTTATGGTGGATACAATTACATGTCTTCATTGGATAGATGAAGAAACTGAAACATACAGAAGTTGAGTAACTTTCCTCTGTTACAGATCTAGTACGTGGCACCATTCAAGTTTGTCTACGTGTTTTTTCATTATGCCACCCAGCCTTTCCATACAGGAGGAACCTACCCACACAATATCTTGAATGTGAGGCAAGTGCTTTTTTTTTTTTTTTCCTTTGCCACAACACAACACACAGTATCCAAATGTCTGTAAGAGGGAATCAGTTTACTTAAGAGTCTGATTATCAAGTAGTTACCTAGTAAGGAGCAGGCAATTTGACACCTCACCTCCATCCCATCAGCCCTTCTTTCTGTCACCAAGAGCCTGCATTCTTGAAATAAGATTTTTTTCTCAGCCCAGTGTTGGGTTTCCCCTTCAAATGACTCTTCTCATTTAGTTTTTGAGTCATCAGCTGTGTAAATATCCCTAGGACACGTCATGCAAACAACTACAAATCTGTTAAAAATTAGATTGAACTACTTTAAAAAATTGAGCAGGGTGTGTCTCAGAGAAGAGAAGGAAGTGTTAAACATACTACAGTTGGAGACCAAGATAAAGGGCAAGAAGGCCTGAGGTCAGTTTCCAGTTCTGTCACTGAGATCATATGACTCTGAGAAACTCAACCTTTTCCTCTTCTTTGTGCCTATTTGTCAAACAGGAGCAATGGCAATAATAAATTAGCGCCTCACTTTTCCATAGTTGACTTACTTTCTGCCTACAATGGGAATTAAATTAAAAACAAAGATACCAAAGGAAAAAAAATTCTCCAAAGAAAAAGCCCCAGGCTGAAAAAAGTAGGCTACATTCCTGGGAGAGTCACAGTCTAAGTTTAGACACTGATGTGTAGACCTTTCGTTCATGGGAGGTTTCCCAACTGTTTTATAACTTTTATTTACATAGCCATACAATGTTCTTTTGCGAAAGTAAATAATAAAACCATAATGTGTTTCAGAGTGTTCTCATGAAATATATTAAAATGGTTTAGTAACACAAGTATTTAGATCTGCTCCAGATTTCTGTTACTTGCTACAGACAATGTCTGTGTGTGTGTGTATATGTGTGTGTGTGTGTATCCTCATACAAATGTTGACAAGTCTGGTGTGTGAAGAACAACACAGCTGTAGCACTTTCACATTTGACGATAGTGCTCCAAATGTACAAAATAAAAAAAATATATTTTTGCAACAAGAAAGAATATATGCTGGTGAGGACACGAGTATCAGTAAATCACTTTGGAGCAAAGACTTGGAAAACACAGAGAAATCAATGTCGATGAGAGCCTATGCTTCCACATAAGGGATCCAGAGGTAGTGTGGGTGGTGGTGGCTGTGGGCTTTAGAGCCATGAAAACTTTCGGTTCAAATGTTGCCTCTACCATGTCCAAGCTGTGTTACTTTGAGTGAGATTCTTGAATAACCTCTCTGAGCCTCAGGTTTTTAATTTTTACTTTAAAATTTTCATACAGTGAAATTCAGTGTTTGTAGTGTATAGTTTTTGGGTTTTGACAAATGCATAGAGTTGTATATCTACTACTATAGTTATGATACCAACTGTTTCATCATCCCAAAGATTCCCTCATGCTGCTGCTTTTTAGTTAATACCTACCCCACCCCTGCCCCACTCAACACCTAGCAAACACTAATCTGTTCTCTCTCCCTATAGTTTTGTCTTCTCAGAATGTCATATAAATGGAATGGCTGCATACATATGTATGTATGGCTTCTTTTGAGTCTGACTTCTTTCTCTTAGCAAAACATACTTGAGATCCATTC